ACAAAAAGCGGACTTTAACACAATGTAGATCTATATGTGCATTGCTATGCACGCCTTATTGTCTGAAAAAGTAAAAAAAAAAAAAAAAAAAAAAAACAATTTTGTGGAAATAAGCGTTCAAGCATTTCTTCATATTCCTTTCCAATATTAACCATTTCTATGGAAAAAAGTAACATTTGATACACGTATACCTACTTACATTCACTGGGATTAAAATTTGAAGAGCCGTTGTTGTTAGCTTAAGAATATGTCTATCGAACATTAAAATCAGTGAAAAGTGCGACTTGGAAATAGGCATCACTTCAAACAAAAGGGAAGACATTGGCACTATATGCAGTTTTGCAGATTTAGAGCTGAACCATCAAGAGGTGTATTTGGAAAGGTTCTGTTGAAGGATTTAGAATTTCTGAGTTAACTACTAAAACACACACATCCGGCCAGTTTGTTAAAATTGTGCGAGGCCCGACCCACTGAATATGCATCATAAGAATTATTATTATTATTATTATCTCTATTATTATCATATTAATCTATATAAAGAGCCACACTGAAAAAAAAACGAGATTTATACTACCAAAGGTGTCCGTGCAGGTCAAGATACAGCTAAGAAAGAATGAAAAATAGAAAGTCAGCTAATTACGTAAGAAAAACATGTTAGCTGGCGTTTTAAAGAAACGAAGAAGTTACAATCTCTGAAGGCAATCTATTCCAAAGTCTACAAATACTAATAAAAAGAAAAAACATCTAGAAAACTGACTTGTAGGCGATCGACTTACACCAACTGGCATTGAATTGAGGGTCATAGAACTTCTGCTAACCCTTGCAGGTTGATAAAAATCAAGTAAAAACTTTTAGAGGGGATGTGAATTATCGGTTATTGCTATTGTTATTACGAGTACAAAGTCGAACAATCAATTATCGAAAAATAATGATTAATACATTTCTTCACATATTTCAGAAGAATGTACATTTCTCTGAGGGAAATGAAATGGCAAACCACTCCAAACAACAAGTTTTGGAGGCTCTTTATACAAAATCAAATTGGCAAATTTCTAAATATAATTAAATCAATGTATCATAAAATCTGAAACACTAATAATAGATAGCGAAAAAAAATGAATAACATCAAGGACAGCAACTTTTAAATGACTGTGTTGTCCAGGATAACAATAATGATAATAATAATGATGATGATGATAATTTTAATGATGAAAAAATAATAGTAAAATTAATAGCAACGACAATAACAATAATCATACTAATAGAAATAATGATAATAGTAACAATAATAGCAATAACAACATAATGATAACAATAATAGCAATAACAACATAATGATAACAATAATAATGACAATGTAAGGGCAATAAACACAATAATAATGATAATAAAAATTATAATAATAATAACACTAACAATGATGCGAATAATATAAATAATAAACTATTACTCATGCTTCTTCTACTAATAATAATAGGTCTAATAATAACAAGAAAAAAAATAACGAGGATTATGATGGTCCTACCAATGGTGATAATAATGATAATAATAATAACAATGCTAGTAATAGTAATAATAACATAAACAATAATAATAATGATGATAATAATAATAACAACAGTGATGACAATAACAGTAACAGTAATAGCAGTAGTAGTCGTAATGACAATAACAATAATAATAATGATAATAATATTGATAATAATAAGGATAATAACAATAACAGCAAAACAATAACATTACCAATACTAATAATAACAATGATAAACATGATAATAATGATAATACTAATGATAATAACAATAATGCTAATAGTAATAATGATAACAATAATAATAAAAACAAATAATGGTAGTGATAATGACGAATATGATATGAATTCACATATAACAACAATTCTAATGAAAATAATGATAATGATAACAGGCTAATAATTGTGATAATAATAACAATAATGATAGTAGTAAGATTGATAATAAAGCTACTAAAAATAATATCAACAATAATGATAACAATGAGAGTAATAATGATGTCAATGATAATTATGATATCAGAAATAATAATGATAATTATAATATTAGAAATAATAATGATAATGATAATAACAATTATCATTATTATCATGATAACAAAATAACAATGATGATGATAATCATAATATATAATGACAATGGTAACAATGATAATCATAGTAACAATAACAATTACAACTATGATAATGATAAGAGCAATAATAATAATAGACAATAAGGCTAACGGCGATGATAATTAAAGTAATAATAATAGTTACGATGATTATAGTAATAACATTAATAATGATGATAATGTTAATAATAATAATGATAAAATAATAATAATAATTAATAATAATAACTGACAATAATAATGATAGTAGAAAAATCATAATCATGATCAAAATGATAACACTGATAAAATGATGGGTGTTATAATGATGATAATGATGATATTAATAATAATGATAATGATAGTAATAATAATAATAGTAATGATAATGATAATAATACTAATAGTAATATAATAAATAATAATAATAATAATAATAATAATAATAATAATAATAATAACAATGATATGATGATGATGATGATGATGATGATGATGATGAGATGATGAGATGAGGATTGAGGAGATGAGGATGAGGAAATGATGATAATGATGATGATATAATAACAATAATAAAAGCAAAAACAACAACAATGATAATAATAATAATAATAAATAATAATAATAAAATAATATAATAATAATGATAATTATAATGATAAAATAATAATAATGATAATAACAACAATAATGATAATAGTAATAACAATACAAAATAACAATAATATTGATAATAATAATATTATTAACAACAATGATAATAATAATAATAATAATAATAATAATAATAATAATAATAAATAATAATAATAATAATAAATAATAATAATAACAATAATAATAATAATAATAATAATGATAAAATTAATAATAATAATAATAAAAATAATAATAATAATAATAATAATAATAATAATAATACCAATAATGATGATAATAACGACAATAACAATAACAACAACAATATTATTAATAATAATGACAATAATAATGACAACAACACATGACAATGATAGTGATGATATTGATAACAAAAACAATTAAAATAATCGCAATAATAACGATATAAGATCCTAATTATTATGTTAATGATGATGATTGCAATAACGACAAAAATCATAATTATAACAACAATAATGATAATAATAGTAATAAAATAATGATATGATGATGATGATAAAAATAATTATAATTATGATACATCTAATATAATAATATAATAATAATAATAATAATAATAATAATAATAATAATAATAATAAAATAATAATAATAATAATAATAATAATAAAATAATAATAATAAATAATTATGATAAACTTGATGATATTATAATGATAATGATAACGATGATGATGACAACTGTGATGATAACAATAATAATAACAGCAACAACAATAATAATGACAATGATAATATTGATGATAATAATCTAAATAATGATAAAAATAAAATACAAAAAAGATAATCATTGTCATGTTGACAATATTGATGATAATAACGAATGTAATAAAAATAACAGCAACAATAATGATAATAATAATAATAACAATAATGATAATAATAATAATAATGATAATAAGAAAAAGAATAATAAAACTGATAATGATAATAAGAAAAAGAATAATAAAACTGATAATGATAATGATGATGATGAAAAAACAACAACAATAATAATAATAATAATAATAATAATAATAATAATAATAATAATAATAATAATAATAATAAAATATAATAATAATGATAATGATATTGATAAAATAGATAATAATAATAATAGTAATAATAATAATAATAATAATAATAATAATAATAATAATAATAATAATAATAATAATAATAATAATAATAGTGATAATAATAATGATGATAATAATAATGATAATAATGATAATAATAATGATAATAATAATAATAGTAATGATGGTAAAAAATAATAACACCACCACCACCAACAACAACAATAATATTAGTAATAATAATAAAAATTATGATAACTCTAATGATAATAACAGTAATACCATCATAGTCATAGCTTCGTATTCCTTTTGAAATGTGCACATATGGCTTGGTGATATATATTCTACAGACAAGATCTTTTTTTCGTTATGTTGATATCCTGCTCATACCATTTGCTGAAAGAGAACGAGCGAGAGGCTCATATTTTTACTATTTATATAGTCAACTTCAAAAATAGTAAAACATAAATCCATTCACAAATTTCTAATGTAAACAAAGAAGCATCCCGATTGTCAACAAAAATGACGTCTGCAGTGTACAGGGACAACGCCATCTATTTTTCATATGTGACACTTATCAACCAACACGTCTGTACAGTCAGACACCGCTCGCTTATCATCCGTGTCGTCTTTGTTGTAATTGTCAAAGTATTTGTCGCTTTTGCCATTATTCCTTCTTTTGTCCGTAGAGAAATAAATATTAAAGTACTTTCCAACATTACCATCATTACCCTCACTGTTGCTGCCACTGTTGTTGTTTTTTATTGTTATTCTCAAAATAAACGGAAGATCGCCATATGGCAGTATGTTATGTTCCTTTATGATGTACGATGATTACGTATTTGTTAGCTGACGTTCTTATTTTTAGTTTCATTATATCCCCAACGTCTTACTATTTTTTAGATTGAATGTATTTAAACGACATCGTGTGTTTTACAACTAATGCATTGATTAGATTAAAGATAGGAAGCGATACGAGCGCACTAATATGATGCAAGTTAGAATTAGGTTATGTTATAAACATATTATTATTTTCAAAAGAAATAGACCAAGAATGTATTTTTAAAAATACTTTAAAAATGACAGATAATATAAATCCTCTTGTGTACGTACCTGTTCTTATCATCATAATAACAAGTGCATTCCTACGATAACTTTTGCGTTTGAGACGAGAGTGAAAATGAGCTCGAGATATTTCCCATAACATTGGCAGGAGTTTTCTCCGACTATTCATTTCCCCTCATTATTATTCCGTCATAATATCCAAGGGGCGAAGGCTTGGACGTGCGAGCAAGATAGGGTAAGTCTGCAATAGAGGAATCTCGGCTGTAATTGCAATATTCGCCTTTGCCAGAGAAGGGCTACAGCGATCTCCACCCAGAGAGGAAGAACCACTCTCTAATCGAACATGAAAAATGTGATTATGTGCATATTGTGTTGTGTTGTTGTGTTGAACGGATTTTATGGTGAAATTAGTGGATGGTTGGCAAGTTAAAGGAGATTAACGCCACATGAATTTTTTAGAAACAATTATTTCAAGAATTGTATTCGTGGAAATCATGAAGCTGGGGTGGTGCAATGTAGGAAAAATTGTTGTAAATGGTGTAATAGAAAATGTTATTCTTATATTTAATGCTATTTATGAGTGTAACTGGAAAATATGTTATAATTTTATGAGTATAGTTTCAGTGGGTGACAATCAAGACTCAAAGGAAAGTGTATGATGTGGTTAATTTTATGAAATCAAACACTTTTCTTGTACAGAATTTAGTGTATGTATTGTTGATAATGAAGATACATAATAGAGAATTGTTAAACTATAGGAGATTAAACAATTTTTTATATTTTACTCAGTGTAGGATCAAGTACTACACAATACTCAACACTGACATGTCATGTAGTATGTGTACTATAATGCATATATGAGAATTACTATTTTACGATTATCCTTTTTTTTAAACAGTATAGTGCATAAGAAAATTGACATTAATAACCGTCATAGTATGAAATCTGAGCCTGTCGAGTGTCCTGAGTCTTGGAAAAAATGAAGTCAAGTCCAAACTTTTCAAACCATCCACAGAACTGAAGAAAATTTTTATACATCTCTATACAGTTTGATGTGATTTTCCGTGTTATATTTCAAGACAAAGATTGATTTTCTTTTTGATGTAGAGAAATTGTATACAGTTAGGATGTTACCAAGACCAAGACCATGGAGGGGGTGCAGGGGGCAGAATTTCCTGGTAAGGGTTAGGTGGGGCTTATGGTGGTGCATGTTCCCCA